TTCATTCTTTTACATGTAGCTGTTTAGTTTTCCCAGCACCATTTATTGAAGAGACTGTCTTTTCCTCATTGTGTATTCTTGGCTCCTTTGTAATAGATTAATTGATCGTATAAGTGTGGGTTCATTTCTGGGGTCTCTATTCTGTTCTATTGATTTATATGTCTGTTTTTGTGCCAGTACCATACTGTTTTGATTACTACAGCTTTTTTTTTTTAAGATTTTATTTATTTGAGAGAGAGAGAGCATGAGTGGGGTGAAGGACAGAGGGAGAAGCTGAGCAGGGAGCCCAATGTGGGACTCAATCCTGGACTCTGAGATCATTATCTGAGCTGAAGGCAGACACTTAATGAATGACTGAGCCACCTAGGTGCCCTGATTATTACAGCTTTGTAGTATAACTTGAAATCAGGAATTGTGATACCTGCAGCGTTTTCTTTTCTTTTCTCTTCTTTTAAAAGATTTTATTTATTTGACAGAAAGAGAGTGAGAGAGGGAACCCAAGCAAGGGGAGTGGGAGAGGGAGAAGCAGGCTCTTCACCAAGCAGGGAGCCCGATGCGGAACTCGATCCCAGGACCCCTGGGATCATGACCCGAGCTGAAGGCAGACGCTTAACGACTGAGCCACCCAGGCACCCCCCAGCAGCTTTGTTTTTCTTTCTCAAGATTTCCTTGACTATTTGAGGTCTTTTGTGGTTCCATATAAATTTTAGGATTATTTGTTTTATTTTTGTCAAAAAAACACCATTGGTATTTTGATAGGGATTGCATTGAATCTGTAGATTGCTTTGGGTAGTATGCATATTTTAACATTATTAAGTCATCTAATCCATGAGCATGAAATATCTTTCCATTTGTTTCATCTTCAATTTCTTTACTCAGTGTTTTATAGTTTTCAAAGTACAGGTCTTTGACCTCTTTAAGTCTATTCCTAGGTATTTTATTCTTTTTGGTGCAATTGCAAATGAGGTTGTATTCTTAATTTCTCTTTCTACTATTTTGTTATTGGTATACAGAATGCTACTGATTTCTGGGTATTAATTTTGTATCCTGCAACTTTACTGAATTCATTTATTACTGGAGTCTAAGACTTTCTTTCTTTTTTTTTTTTTAAAGATTTTTTTATATATTTATTTGACAGTGAGAGAGAGACAGCGAGAGCAGGAACACAAGCAGAGGGAGTGGGAGAGGGAGAAGCAGGCTTCCCGCTGAGCAGGGAGCCCGATGTGGGGGTGGATCCCAGGACCCTGGGATCATGACCTGAGCTGAAGGCAGATGCTTAACGACTGAGCCACCCAGGCACCCCTGGAGTCTAAGACTTTCTATGTATAGTATCATGTCATTTGCAAATAGGGACAGTTTAACTTCTTTATCAATATGGATGCCTCTTATTCATCTTGAGGTATTTTCTGATTTCTTATGTGATTTTCTTTGTTACTCATTAGTGTTTTGGGATTATGTTGTTTATTGTCCACATACTTTTGGGTTTCCAAAATATGCCCCTGTTAGTGATTCTAATTTCATTCAGTTGTTACCTGAGAACATATTTTGTATGAACTCACTACTTTTAAATTTATTTTAGCTTGTCTTATGGCCTATGATATTGTCTGTCCTAGAGAATTTTCCATGTGCACTTGAGAAGAATATGTGTTTTGTTGTTGAAGTGTTTTCTAGATATTAGATATACTTGGTTTATGGTGTTCAAATCTTTTCTTTTTTTTTTGATTTTCTATCTAGTTGTTCTTTTTTTTTTTTAAATTTTATTTTATTATGTTATGTTAGTCACCATACAACGCATCATTAGTTTTTGATGTGGTGATCCACGATCCATTGTTTTCATATAACACCCAGTGCTCCATGCAGTATGTGCCCTCCTTAATACCCAGCACTGGGCTAACCCATACCCCACCCCCCGCCCCCTAAAACCCTCAGTTTGTTTCTCAGAGTCCATCGTCTCTCATGGTTCATCTCTCCCTCCGATTTCCCCCCCTTCATTTTTCCCTTCCTTCTCCTAATGTCCTCCATGCTGTTCCTTATGTTCCACAAGTAAGTGAAACCATATGATAATTGACTTTCTCTGCTTGACTTATTTCACTTAGCATAATCTCCTCCAGTCCCATCCATGTCGATGTGAAAGTTGGGTATTCATTCTTTCTGATGGCTGAGTAATACCACTTTATACCAGTTGGAATGGCAAAAATTGACAGGGCAAGAAAAAACAAATGTTGGAGAGGTTGTGGAGAAAGGGGAACCCTCTTACACTGTTGGTGGGAATGCACGTTGGTACAGCCACTTTGGAAAACAGTGTGGCGGCCTCAAAAAATTAAAAATAGAGCTACCCTATGACCCAGCAATTGCATTCCTGGGTATTTGCCCCACAGACACAGGTGTAGTGAAAAGAAGGGCCATATGCACCCCAATGTTCATAGCAGCGATATCCCGTAATAGTCAAACTGTGGAAAGAGCCGAGATGCCCTTGAACAGATGAATGGATAAAGAAGATGTGGTCCATATATGCAATAGAATATTACTATCTAGTTGTTCTATTCACTGTTCATATTTGAGTTTGAAACCTCCTTCTAGTATTCTTGATGTATCTGTTTCTCCTTTCAAATCAGTCACTTTTTGCTTTTTGTTTTTTTTTTTTTTTAAGACTTTTATTTATTTTCTGATAGAGACAGACAGCCAGAGAGGGAACACAAGCAGGGCGAGTGGGAGAGGGAGAAGCAGGCTTCCCGCTGAGCAGGGAGCCCTATGTGGGACTCGATCCCAGGACCCTGGGATCATGACCGGAGCCGAAGGCAGACACTTAATGACTGAGCCACCCAGGCGCCCCTTGCTTTTTGTTTTTTGGCAGCTCTATTGTTAGGTGCATATGTGCTTATAGTTGTTATATCCTCCTAGTGCAATGATCCCATTTTCTCTAGTGACATTTTTTGGTTTGTCTTAAGATCTATTTTGTCTGGTATTAGTATAGCCACTCCAGCATTCTTATGGCTGTTGTTTGCATGACATATTTTTTCCCATGCTTTCATTTTTTCAGGCTGTTTGCATCTTTGAATCTAAAGTGTGTTAGTAAGCCGGTTTCAGTTGGTGTTTCACTGAAATTATTTGGCATAAATTGTCACTTCTAACAGTGATAATGTTTTCTCTAATATATTGATGAGTTAATGTTTATTTAATGCTTACAATCTCATATTGTTATTCTGGATAATGTGATGATGTTTTTGGAATACTAATCAGGTATAGTCTCCCCTTTTCAGGAAGTTTAAATATAAGATAAAGGATTTATTGTCTCATTTATTCCTACTGGTCTGAGAAGTAGAGCAGATAAAATATGAGTTTATTCATTTTATAGTGAGAAAATGTGTCTATAAACTTAAATTTGAACTTGTCTCTCAGTTTTAACACATAAATAATCTTAAATCCCAATGACAAATTTAATTTTAAATTTACTGATTCAAGCTACTACAAGTTTTTTCCAATCATAATAGGTAGAAAACAGGCAGAGCTTTCCAGTTTTAATTGCTTTATCTTCTGTGAAATTGACTTAAAAGCAGAGAAAAAGTTTAGTCATTATATATTCTCATTTACTTTCTTTTAACATTATTTAGCACTCTCATAAGATGATTGATACAGTTCATTATGGATTGCAGGAAAGAAAAAACTAGCTTCTGAAAATGATTGAATAACAGCTGGAATTAATGAATAAGGGAGTGATTGAATGAATGTATCAACCAGATGAAATGTAGGCTTTTTTAGGTATTCTGTGTGATGAAAGGATTAACAGAATTCAAGATAGTGCAAAATAGGACCTCTGTGATATAACAATGACTGATGATAATGTTAATGATAATGTTAGCTAATTTTTATAGGGTAGTTATTGTTTGCCAGGCACTGTTCTAATATCTTTACATATAGGTCAAAGATTGGATTGTCAGATCAGACTGACATGAATTGAAAATGTTAATCAGTATTAAGCTTTACTTTTAATTTTAAGGATACAAGGTACCAAAAGGCACAGGAAAAGCAGAAAGGGGTCCTGGACATTAAGAGAGACCCTCAGATTCTTTTTTTTCATAATAGACAAAACTCTCAATCCCAGAGCAGTAGATATGATCTCTGATGAAGTACATGGGTTATCTCATACAATAGGGAACATTATAGGCTGTGAAACATTTCATTTTATACTCCAATAATTGCATAGGTGATGTCCCATCCCTTATAAACCTATAGATTCTAGGTTTGTTTTCCATAGTAATTCTAAAACAAGGGTATTCTGCTAAAAGCCTTCTATGGATAAGTACTTTTTTTTTTTTTTAAGCAAATACCATTAGTATATTTGTCAGTAATTAGCATGCTTATAAGGAGAATAGACCAGGTCTTCTGCCTTCTTTTTCCTGGGAGAGCCTCCTACCCAACAAGAAAAAAAAAAGTTCTCTTTCGTTTCCAGTAGATTTACTCATTTAAATTCAAATTCAATTATTTATTTTTTTAGGATAAACAAGGTAAATACATTAAGAAGGAACTTCAGACGTGTGTTTTTTTTAAAGATTTTATTTATTTGACACAGAGAGAGAGAGATAGCGAGAGAGAGAGAGAGAGAGAGAGCATAAGCAGGGGGAGTGGCAGGCAGAGGGAGAAGGAGGCTCCCCACTGATCAGGGAGCCCAATGTGGGGCTTGATCCCAGGATCCTGGGATCATGACCCAAGCGGAAGGCAGACGCTTAACTGACTGAGTCACCCAGGCTCCCCTGGACATGTTTAAAAATATTTAATTTGATTTGATTTGGTTTAGTTTGGTTGGTAGGAGATGAAAAATACAGTAAATATAAATATATTCTTACCACCAGCAGATAATCACCATAGCACCTTGTATTCCTTTTGTGTGTGTGCATGCACATGTCATAAACAATTCTTTCTTCTGTTTGATCTTAGAATATTTGAGAAATCATGTGATGGTTTCAATTTTCAGTTCTCTCTGTTTTTCTCACCCAACCCAGGATGGAGATCCAGTTCGTCCAGGAGTGGCCATGACTGATCTCGCTACTGGCCTGTATGCATATGGAGCCATTATGGCTGGACTGATACAAAGATATAAAACGGGGAAAGGACTGTTCATTGATTGTAACCTGCTGTCATCTCAGGTACCAATCCAAAGAACTTTTGAGATTGTGGTGTAAAGACATGTATCTGGTTTATACTGTCTCATATTAAATCCTGTGGTCACATGTGCAAAAATAAAAAACAAACAAACAGAAAAAACCCACAGACAACAACAGCAAAAGCTGTTCTATTTTGGTGTACTTAATTATTGTTAAGTTAAAATAAACAGACCATGAAGATTTTGTTGTATGTAGACATTGCTATTGAATTCGAATTTTAAAGACTATTTATATTAAAATGGTTCTATTACTACTTGTGAGACAGGAGTACATTTGGTTCTATTTTATTGTCACATGAGCTCTGTAACTTCTTTTGACCAGGGTTTCTTCACCTTTTTTGTACTGTGGATCCTTTGAATAGTCTGGTGAAGGCTATGGACCTTTTTTCAGAATTATGTTTTTAGATGCATAAAATGATATATTTAGGATTCCATGGGAAGCAAGTTATATTAAAATACAGTTAATTCAGTGTAAAAACCAATTTTGTGTTGTAATAACATATGATTTTTTACTAACACATTAAACCATAAGATCTGTTATTGGGCTTAGTAACTATTGCAATTTTGAGGTAATGTCGAACATAAATGATGTTTTAAGATACCTGAAATAACTAGAATATGATATGAAAATATGGATAATATTTATTGGTGATCAAGCCATAGGTACTACTAATATTCCTATGCTTTGTTGCCTACATTCATAATTGAAGAAAATGCTAAATTTTAGTTGGAAGTTGGATGGACATAAAGATACAGTTTTTTTCCATTCAAGTTAATTAGTTCCCAGAATTCTTTCCACGGACTCTAGGTTAAGAACCCCTGGTTTGGATAGTTACCAGTTATGTCATGCTAAATACTGGTGGAATTAAAAGGTTAACTAACTCTAAAATTGACATTTTGCCTCTTATTGGAGCAGACCCAGATGCCTATACAGAATAGATAATTCTTCAGGAAGAGAAAAAAAGAAAATACCAAATTTGTGCAAGGAGATACTTTACTATGGGAAAAATGACTATAGATGGAGACCTCAGTTAGGAATTTCAGATTTAAATGGCATGGATGGGAGACTAGTAAACTTGGAAAACTGCTTTGGAGATTTATTCTTGTAGATAAAATTAAGGAGTTGTCTAGAGGTAAAAAAAAAATCAAAATGGCTAAAGGTAAAATACTACATATGGAGTTTCAACATTAGCTTTGAGTCACAGTGAGCATTTTAGTGGTTATATAAAAGGGTAAAATAATTCTCTCCAAATGAATGAACTGTCTTCTAAATAGAGAAACACAGATGTTAGTTATGAGAAGAAGCTGAAAGCCTTTTCTTCCCTCCTCTAATTTTATAGCTGTAAGGAACCTGAGGTAGGGTAAGTGACTGGCTACAAGTTACACATTCCATAAGGATGGAAGCCAGGATGATTTCAGGGGGTTTGACCTGTGCAATCACAGAGGGTTCTAAGCTTAGTTTAAAGGCTCTGTTATCACTGCCTTGGATTCTTAATTATTTTTGAATGAGAGGCCCTACATTTTTTTCACTTTGCACCAGTACTTGCAAATTATGTGGCCAGTCCTGGATTTGGGACTCTATCTAAGTCTCCTGATCTTTACCTAGTCTGCTTTACTTATATGTCAATGATTAATTAGCTTTGGAAGAAATTCTCTTGTAGCATTTGGTAGAATTTAATTCTCTTCCAGCACCTAACACAATGATTCATGATGTGGAGGTGTGTGGTTCCCTGGGGATGAGAGTGGAGGGGGGTGGTATCATTGGTGGGGCTGTTTCAAAGTGAGGGTACAGGAAATACAAACGCATGCATGCATGCTCACATACATGCTTTCTAGTCATTTTGGATATGTGTCTGTGTTTGTTGTTCATGTTGTCCCCTGAGCCTGTAAGTCCCGTGAATGCAGGAATGTTTGTTCCTGCTTACAGTGGTATCCTCAAAATGCAGTCTAGTATTTGTCAAATAGTGGGCTCTCCCAATCTTTTGAGATCAGTAGGACACCCACTGTTAGCGATGTGTATGTCTCATGGCCCTTAGGTTTGCTAGGAAAGGTTAGAAAAATGTAGAAAACCATGGAGTTAGGATAAGCACTCGATAAACAACTAATGATGAGATGATTTGCTTTTAGCAAACCTGGTAGCAGTGATTTAGCCTATTTGCTGTAGCTAATCTGGTTAAAGTTTGCTAAGGTTATTAGTGTGATTAAGACTCATTAGCTAGCTTTTTTTTTAATTGAGGTAGAACTGACATAAAACATTATATTAGTTTCAGATGGATAACATAGTGATTTGATATTTGTATATATTGCAAAATGATCACCACAATAACTTTGGTTAACATCCATCATGATACATAGTTGTGATCTGCTTTTCCCATGAGGAGAACTTTTACAATCTACTCTCTTAGCAGCTTTCAAATATGCAGTACAGTATTATTCACTATAGTCACCATGCTGTCCGTTATATCCCTGTGACTTATTTATTTTATAACTGGAAATTTGTACCATTTGACACCCTTCACCTATTTTACCAACCCTTTGCCTCTTGCAACCACCAATCTGTTTTCTGTATCTATGAGCTCAGTTTTTTTTTAAGTAAAAAAAAAATTCCTTCTAGATTCCACATATAAGCAAGATTGTATTGTATCTCTCTTTCCCTGACTGGCTTATTTTACTTAGCATAATGCCCTCAGGGTCCATCCATGTTGTTACAGATGGCAGGATTTCCTCCTTTTTTTGATGGCTGAATAACATTCCATTATGTGTAAATATGTACAACATTTTTTTATCCATTCATCCATTGATGAACACTTAGATTGTTTCCCTATCTTGGCTATTGTCATTACCTTTTAACAATAAAAATCAATTAAGTCTTATTTTAGAGCTATGGATTTTCAGATCTACTGTTTTATATGATCTCCATAATAATCACTTGAGGTAGGTAGGGCAGGAGTTTTTTAAAAGATTTTATTTATTTATTTATTTGAGAGCAAGCACAAGAGCTGGAGTGGAGTTAAGGGCAGAGGGGGAGGGAGAGGGAAAGAATCCCAAGCAGACTCCACGCTGAGTGCAAGTCTGGGCTCTATCTCACAACCCCAAGATCATGACCTGAGCTGAAACCAAGAGTTCAGTGCTCAACTGGCTCCCAGGCGGATAGGGCAGGAATTTTTATTCCTATTTTACTTACAAAGAAACTGAAGCTAGGAAATGTTGATCTGCTTGACCAACAGAGTCACAGCCAGAATTCTAGTTTCTGATATCCTGACTGGTTCTCTTTTCCCTACGTGATAAAGACAAAAGCTTTGGCACTGAGGGACAGGCAAGATCCAGCTTTCCTGTGGTGAAGCTCCAGGGGAGAAGGCAAATTTAGTAAGAGGCAGAGGAAGCAAAAGACCCCTCAGTAACAAGGGAACACAGAACAGGACTGGCCCCTCCTGCCTCCACGTTGCATGCCAAGAGTCAGAATAAGACAGTGCGACATAGTGGGCCCCTCTGAAGCATTATCTAATCACGTTCAGATCCAGTGATTGAAACTATCATGGAATTTAACCTGATGGACAAGTGTTTCTGCTGAAATACGAGAATTTTGAGAAAGAGAACATTTGGAGTGGGTTTTTCATGAGCTTTGGTCAACTGAGGAGTCACTGTGTCCCAGGTGCTGTGGTAGCTCGGTTGGAGTGAGAGGTGACACATCTGTTCAAGGCTTAGTACTGGAGGTGGTGTCATACAGGAGAGATGGAGGTGATCCATGTAGTTCTCTGTAGCATAGGGTTTTAGAACACAGTTGGGCCAAGAGTATTAAGGGCCTCGTATGTCATGCTTAGGAATCTGGATTTTAACTGCTTAAGCCCTCTGTTTCTTTATCTAGCAATTCTGTTGGTGATGGTCTTTTCAACGAAAGACACTGTCTCCTTGGATACATGCTATTGTTCCCACAAGCAGAATAGCCTCTGAGCTATGAATAGTGCTAGAGCTTCAAAGGGCAGTGGTACAGATAATAGTTTATGTTGAAGCCAGTCTGAAGTGCAGCGCAGTGGGTGATAAGATTTTCTTTTTTTAAAAGATTTTATTTATTTGAGTGAGAGAGAGAGAGAGAGATCATGAGCAGGGGCGGAGGGTAGAGGGAGAAGCAGGCTTTCCACGGAGCAGGGAGCCCGATGTGGGGCTCGATTCCAGGACCCTGGGATCATGACCTGAGCGGAAGGCAGACGCTTCACCGACAGAGCCACCCAGGAACTTAATAAGACCATTTTCATTCTCTTCACCCACTGCTGCCCAACCTCTGTTCATCTCTTTTTGCCTCTACCCTATTTCTTGACTCTGTGTTACTTCTTTTCTTCTCATCTCATATGTGCTTTTTGAGCCTTGGGCATCTCTTTTCTCTGTTTGTCTTTTTCCCACTTGTCTTTCTTTACTTTTCACTCCTATCCTGCACTGTCTGCCTTTTCCAAGTCCCTTTTTCTCCATCTTTTATTATGTGGAGCTATTGTTGAAGCAGTTCTGGTACCAGATCTTACATCTTTATACTGTACCATGAAGGAAACTTACAGAATCTTTTAGCAGTTTCCATGGAAGAAAAAGGAAGACCTTTTTTGTAGAAGCCCCAGAAAATAAGATCATATATTTCACTGGGTTAAGTGACCATTCCTGAACCAATTAATGAGGACTAAAAAATATGTTATTTGGCTTAAGCTGTTCTATGTACTAGGGATGGGGTTAACTCCACCCAAACCATATGACTGTAACTGGGGAGATGTGATTTCTCCAAAGAATGGTGTGGTTATTTTTTGGCCAGAGGCAGGGGAAATCGATGCTGGGGGGCCAATCAACATTATACTAACAATACTGGGTTGTTTTGAGAATCTAATGCACTAAAGGATGTGAAAAATTCTTTGTAAATTGAAAAGTTTCTGTTGACTAGCATTAATATTATTAGGTTACTGAAAAAATATTTTGCAGTGTTAGAAATGTGCTGAGATTAAAAAG